GGCTGGCTGTGACACCAGTTTGAGTAGTCAGTGGTGGGCATCTGTTGAAATGAAGCCAATAAATCTGTGATGAGTTTACTTTGTGAAAGAGGGTTACAGAAGTTATTACTTAATTCTTTGCTGAGTATTTCTTACAGTGGGTTGCTGTGGAGTTTAACGTAGCCATGTAAGCATGAGCATGGGTGACACAAATGGGGTCATTTACGCTGGTGAGAACAAGTGCACATCTGTATTCAGATGTGAACAGGCATGTTCAGTATATAGCTGACTTGATGTTCTTTTACTGAACAGTGATGAAAAGAGAGACTGAAGGTCATCCCCAGTTTCATATTTTTATGAGTGGCTTCTTGTCTTTATTGTGAGCTGACTGCTGAGCCATTCCTAGTGTGAACACTGTGTTAGGCACTGAGATCTGCTATATTCAAAGCATAAATGTCAACATTTTAAAAGATTTCCTAAGATAATTTTTATAATTTTCCAACTGAAGCAAACATGCATGACCTATGTATCCTTACTTATATCATTTTAGAGGCATGACTCTATGAGAAAAAATTGTTCAGAACTGCTTTACAGCATCCCCCAGTCCTCTGTGTTGTAATAAGTGTCATCTGGACAGTGCCCAGATCAGGTGGAAGAAATCTTAGGGTCTTGCAACCTCAGATTTGTTAAAACAGTGATGGAGAGTCATGAACAAGAGGTTAAATAGAAGGCTGTAAACTTCCAATGCGATGGGGACAGATGCGCTTTTAGAAACTAAATGTGTGTCAGGCTGCTGTTAAAGGTTGCCTACCAGATGAGGAAGCCAGCCAGCTGATAACACAAGAAGGCAACTCCCTAAAAGAAACACAAACCAGAAGCAAATTGATCAGGATAGTGAAAATAGATGCAGACGTAAGGTAGTCACAAGCAGTAGCAGCAACAGACTGGCGAAAAGTTTCTCTCCCAGTCTGCATAAGGGAAGCTGCAAATGTTATACAAAGTTGTGCTGTTCTCATTTCCCTGCATCTGCTTTATATTCGTGTTTATTGCCCATCAAACACATTTACATATCCAGGCATGAAATGGAAATGATTGATGCAAAGTAGGTATTTTTGTTAATTGTTGTTGCCCTGTGTCATGCCTGACTGAGTCTGCTGGAGATGGGTGAGGAAAGACAGAATTATTACTAGAGGTACAAATAATTGCTAGGCCACTCTTCATCATCTTTGGTAAGTCGTGGGAAACAGGAGAGGTGTCTGAGGACTGGAGGATGGCAAATGTCACACCAGTCTATAAGAAGGGCAAGAAGGAGGACCTGGGTAATTACAGACCAGTCAGCCTTACCTCCATTCCTGGAAAGGTGATGGAACAACTTATTCTTGACACCATTTCTAGGCATATCAAGGATGAAGGGGTCATTAAGAGCAGCCAACATGGTTTTACCAAGGGGAAGTCATGTTTGACCAACCTTATAGCCTCCTATGGGGAAGTAACTAGGTGGATGGATGATGGTAGAGCTGTAGATGTGCTTTTTCTTGATTTCAGTGGGGCATTTGATACTGTCTCCCACAGCATCCTCATAGATAAGCTAAAGAAGTGTGGGCTTGATGATCAGGTAGTGAGGTGGATCAAGAACTGGTTGAAAGGAAGAAGGCAGAGAGTTGTGGTCAATGGGGCAGAATCTAGCCGGAGGTCTGGGACTAGTGGAGTGCCTCAGGGGTCGGTGCTGGGACCAGTGCTGTTTAATAGTTTCATCAGTGACCTGGATGAGGGAACTGAGTGTACTCTCAGCAAGTTCGCTGATGACACTAAACTGGGAGGAGTGGCTGACACACCAGAAGGCTGTGCTGCCATCCAGAGAGACCTGGACAGGCTGGAGAGTTGGGTGGGGAGAAATTTGATGAAATTCAACAAGGGCAAGTGTAGAGTCTTGCATCTGGGGAGGAACAACCCCATGTACCAGTACAGGTTGGGAGTTGACCTGCTGGACAGTAGTGAAGGGGAAAGGGACCTGGGGGTCCTGGTGGATAGAAGGATGACCATGAGCCAGCAGTGTGCCTTTGTGGCCAAGAAGGCCAATGGCATCCTAGGGTGTATTAGAAAGAGTGTGATTAGTAGGTCAAGAGAGGTTCTCCTCCCCCTCTATTCTGCCTTGGTTAGGACACATCTGGAATATTGTGTCCAGTTCTGGGCCCCTCAGTTCAAGAAAGACAGGGAACTGCTTGAAAGAGTCCAGCGCAGAGCCACAAAGATGATTAAGGGAGTGAAACATCTCCCTTATGAGGAGAGGCTGAAGGAGCTGGGTCTCTTTAGCTTGGAGGAGACTGAGGGGTGACCTCATCAATGTTTACAAATATGTAAAGGGTGAGTGTCAGGATGATGGAGCTAGGTTTTTTTCAGTGATGTCCAGTGATAGGACAAGGGGCAATGGGTGTAAATTGGAGCATAGGAGGTTCCATGTGAACATCAGGAAAAACTTCTTCACTGTGAGAGTGACAGAGCACTGGAACAGGTTGCCCAGGGGGGTTGGAGATATTCAGGGCCCGCCTGGACAAGTTCCTGTGTGATGTACTCTAGGTTACCCTGCTCTTGCAGGGGGCTTGGACTAGATGATCTTTTGAGGTCCCTTCCAACCCTTGGGATTCTGTGAATTGTCAAGAGCGACTTTTAAACCCATCTGCTGCCACATATGAACATCAAAAACTATCCAAAGAGGGGAGGGGCAGAGCCAACACCATGTCTCTGTCAATGTAGATGTTGCCAACTGCTTCTGAATCTTTGTCCATCTTTTTTTTTTTCCATTTCTGCTCCCTGAGAGCTTCAATCACTTCCTGTCACAGTGCTACCAGTGCCTGCTGTGTGTTGCAACAACAGTGTCTTATGCCGAAAGCTAATGGGCGTTTGAGAGTTGGGCTGCTTTATCTGCACAACACTAGTGAAATGCATCTGCTTTTTGCCCCACTTTTTGCCAGTTGGAAAGCAATTCTTAACACGCTTTCATACATTCAAAGCAGAGCCAAGATAAGCATCCAGTTTAAGAAAGGAAAGCTGTGCTTTAAGTGCTTAAAGATAGTACTTTTCATAGTGGAACTATACTGCAGAGGTTACAGGAGGGTTTCTGATACTTCCTGTTCTGCAGGGGTACAAGAGGGATTTTAGAAATATCTGTCTGAATGGTTGCACGATCCTCGGGTTCACTGTTGGTGTGGGCTGTGTAAGTAACTGAAGTGGATCAGAACAGTTGTAGTGCAGTTTGGTCATGTGTGAACAGCAGCAAGGAAACCCAAGGTCCAAATGAGTAAGTTTGGAAATATCATCCTTCAGAGTATCATCTGATGCTTACACAAGTCATGGCTTCCAAACAGCCTTCCCTAGTTTATATCCTTCCACCTGTAGCCATTCAGCTACAACATAATTCTTGAAACAGATGTTTCCATTAGATATAGTTCAAAAAATTACCCTGCAGCAGAACATAGTATGTAGTTTGGCCTCATAACCTTATTCCAGAAACTATACTAATATATATATACTTTATATATAAAACTCAGACTGAATAAGGACAAAGCATTCAGCCCTGATTTCTTTTCTTGGTCTGAACTGGGGAATGTATCTGCATTTTTTTGGAATATCTATTTTTAGGACAAATGGGAGGTTTACGGAGAATCTTTAGTGGAAGGTTTAGGGAATCCTTAGTGGCAGAAAATGGGTGGTACCTGGGAAAGAAAGTTAATTGTCTTGGAGACTGCTACAGATTTTGAGATTTTCCATTTAACTGCAGCTAGCTCTTGTATGAGATTGGCAACACAAAGTGTTGGCTTGTTTACAGGCTAACTTGTCGTCAGCAAGCTTGCCTCCTGCTTACTTGCTTTGTCCTTCTCTGAACTCAAGAAATAGTACTGAGATCAGACTTTTCTTAGGAAATCTTAAGGCTCATGACTTATTAATGTATTGTCTGCAGTCAGATGAGTCATGCAAACTCACAAGCCTATTTTTGTACCAGACTGTGTGTTAACTTTAGTCATGAATCTTCTGCTGGTTATTCTAGCTGACAGAAATCATAAATATTTTGGTTTTGCTTTGTCTTTATGATATCACCGTGGAATTCAGGTGAGTTGTTATTGAATAAAACATTTCTTAGTAAAAAACTTGAATCTGTGAAAGCCTGCTCGAAGCATACTCAATTGCAGTCCATTTCAGATTGCCATAAATAGATGTACAAACTGAATTAAATAGCTAAAAGATGAACTGACAATGTGAGTTCTGCAGTTATTTGCTCTATTTCAAATCAATGTTTCTTGGTGTCACTTTTGTGTTCTTGACAGGTGAGGCTGTATAATGATAATCTTTATATCAACAGATGCTTTTGTACTACACAATTATAACTAATTTCCGTCAAGCACTTGTCTAAAATTAAGTCATAAGAGTGGATTTTAGGTGTCTCATTATCTTCACTCCAACCCATTTAATAGTAGGGTCCTTCTTAAGTAGGTGGCTCATGACAGTCTTCCACATGGTGTTATTTTTAGCGCTTGCAGCTTCCACATGAAATTGCTCATGCTTCTCATACATTCTGACCAAGCGCTGTGTGGATTATCATGTGCATCTTGTGAGACATGCATGTCTCAGTCCAGAAGAGAAGTGATAAGACTATATAAAGCTTTTTTTCCCACTGTTTCTACTATTACTGAGGGTTAGCATTTCAAAGCAAGGGGGAGTACACTCCAGTTAATTGGCTTCTACATAAAGTAACTAACACTGAACAGTTGGTAGGTCAAAGTAATTACGTTTCTCTGATAGCTGTTTATTTCCTTTGATCTCTCTCTCCTTCTCCCAATTTACCTTATATTTTATCCACAGTATTTATGAAGCTTTGCACTTTTTACTGTCTCCGAAGCAGTTACTTAAAATGGCTGTATTACATTGGGAAAAGTTAAGGGGGGGTGGTGGCTGGTAATCAATTTATTGGAAAATAGAGAAGTGAAATCCACTGAATCTCAAAACTGTGTTTAATTATGTTTCAGGAACTTCTATTACATCACGATGCTGAGGGATCCAGTGTCACGGTACTTGAGTGAATGGAAGCATGTCCAGAGGGGTGCGACGTGGAAAACTTCCCTTCATATGTGCGATGGAAGAAGTCCAACACCAGACGAGCTGCCTACCTGTTATGAAGGAGACGACTGGTCTGGAGTCAGTTTACAGGAATTCATGGATTGTAGCTACAACTTGGCCAACAACCGCCAGGTGCGCATGCTGGCAGACCTCAGCCTGGTGGGATGCTACAACCTGACTTTTATGAATGAGAGTGAAAGAAATATGATTCTTCTCCAAAGCGCCAAGAACAATCTGAAAAACATGGCCTTCTTTGGACTCACAGAATTTCAGAGGAAAACGCAGTATCTCTTTGAGAGGACATTCAACCTGAAATTCATTTCCCCATTCACTCAATTCAACGTTACACGGGCTTCCAATGTGGACATAGGTGAGGATGTGCGGCAACGGATAGAGGAGCTGAATTTCTTGGACGTACAGCTGTATGAGTATGCGAAAGACCTGTTCCTGCAGCGCTTCCAGTACTCCAAGCAAGAGGAGCATCAGCAGAACCGACTAAAGAGGCGAGAGGAGCGGCGGCTGTTGCGGGAGCAGAGAGCTCACCAGTCACCAAGGGAAGAGGCAGCAGAAGTAGCCGTTACTGAAGATTATAACAGTCAGGTTGCAAGGTGGTGATGCTTCTCCATCTTGACTAACAGATGAAGAGGATCACAGAATTTGTGCAACTTGGCTACCTGGGAATTAGCCAAGGAAGGCCTATGCTTTGGGAAATGAGACCACATCTGACAACTAACTACCCCTCCTTGTCTCAGTTTTTCTTGGTTTCTGCCAGTGAGGAGAATGTATTTTTTTCTCAATAGGCATTGATTAGTGTTACTGAATCACAGTAGAATAGATTCCTGTCCAAAAAGACTTCCTTCAAAGCCCTAAGCTATGATGATGGGTTGAAGAGAGAGCTATATCCTTTGCATTAACAGAGGTACCCCATAGGATCTGAGCTACTAAAACTTGTGCAGACATCTGTTGATAAAAAGTACCTGGTTTGGTTCCTCTGTGACATGAGAGCTGGTTTGTTTCATACTGTCCTTTGCAACTGTATAGCTTTCTAGTGAATGAAATGGAGGAAAGCACATTGCCCTTTGAGCTTCTACATGCTGTGTTTTGATTAAGGGAAGAATTTGCTGAGGTGATTAAAAAAGACCTAGGAAATGTGGGACTGGGGCATTGCTTGTCCTGTTCTGTTAGCCAGGAGTCAGAGATGATTTATAAGTGAGGTGGTGGCAGGGTTAGCTTATTTCTCTGGAGATGCTGAGAGTACTAAAACCAGCCAGGCAGCAGCCACCCTTCTGAGCATGTGTGGCAAAGGCAAAGCCTTGAGAAATGATGTCCATTCAACAGCTAGGCAGATATCATGGAGATTATCTGGATGGAGGCAATGAAAGCAGCCTTTGCGTTCACAAAAGGTAAAGAAGGGGCAAGCAAGCTACAGGGAAGAGGAAAGAGAGAGCAGGAAAAGCTGAAATATTAGTGTGACATTTTCCAGATTTGCTTTGAAAGCCTGGAGATCTATTGTCTGTGAGGGTAGGCAGGGTTATGGTATTGTCTGTTAAAATACATTGATGCCAAGTGAATACGATTTAAATTGGTTTTCTCTCTAACTACAGTAGTGGCTAGAAAAAAAATCAGCTTTCAGTTTTTTAGGATACATAATGACTATGTGGAAAGTCTTGATAATTATCACTCTGTATGAAGATTCTTTGTAAATTTATTGTTTCATGATGGGAGATCTTTATCTGGCTTTGTTCCTTGTCTAGAAAAAGATTCAGTGGGTTCCTCCTCCACATGTTACATTCTTGGGGTTAAACTGCATCTCTTTATTCCAAGATTTTATGTTGTTCCATTTGCAATAGTGAAATTTTTAAAAAGAGGGTCCTGTGCACCGTGGATCTTTTGAGAGAGTTTTTTTTCCTTCTTCTAGCATAAATGTAAAGCATTAGGAGGAAATTTCTCTAAGTGCCTCAACGTGGCTGCTAAATCAAGATGCTGAAAGTATATTATTGCATGCATGAATGGCTTTTACCTTACAGATTTGCTAATTAGAAATACTGGAGTACCTGATGTGGATACACATTTCTCATTTATTTTCAAAATTCAAGGCTTTTATCCAGTGGGTAAAAAAAATAATGAGTTACAGAAGAAAAGAGGCTGAATTTCAGTATTTGTCTTTTCATTTCCAACTTTTTGGGGTTTTTTTTAGTGCATGCTGTATCTTCTTCTGACAATGCTGTTGCTACTTACCTATACACAATATCAGAGATAAGACCTAACCCATCCTGTTGAAAGTTAATGCATACAATAATACATTAAACATTGAATATCATAACAGCTATTAAGACGTGAAGAGGGCTGTCAAGATGATGCCTCGTCATCAATATAGTTTATTAGCATTATGCTGATTTATGCCTGATTGTCAGTGTGATACTTCTGGGGTGAGTAGTGATGCTTTATGATCCCTAATACCTGTTCCACTGGTGGATCATGTGCATCTCTTCCCACCTCTGCATTCAGAAGGGAAAACACAGGACTGCAGATCATTACTCTCCTGCTTGGGATATCTGCCTTAGAGAAGAGTGAGGAGCATTCTAGACTTCCCAGATGGTGCTGCTTGGATCTCCGTAGCCTGGAAGAGGCACTTGACACCTCACTCACATATGGACACCAACCTTCAGAGGTTTAAATTGAAATGTTTACAGTCTAGGTATGAAGCTCGCCCTGGCTGCAGGACAGGAAGGCCATGAAGAGCTAAGCCTGACCGATATTATTGAACCTTCATCGCAATGCAGGTAATTCACAGTGATCTGATATCTTATCTGCTGATACCAGGGCTTCAGGTTGGGCTGGCCCTATGGAAGCAGGAGCTTTCTGGTTGGTGACACAGGAACGACAGGAGCTGTTGCATCTCACTGTTCTTGGGCCCACCGCTGCATCTTGCTGCAGACCCTGCAGCAAGGAAGGGGAAGGCTGCCTTGGCACCTGATACTGTATGTCCAGGATTTGCAGATGTGCTCCATGCTTCCATGAGGAGGAATGGTGTGCTGGGGGGACCCTGAAGGGCCAGAGGAAGGGCTGTGCAGGAGAATAGCCAGCCACGTGAGAGAAAAGATGCAAGGCCAAGTTCACATTAAGAAGGAAGATAAGTGAGAAAGTAGAATCAGTCCCAGCCCATCTTTTGTGGTAAAGAATATTTTCTTCCCCCCCGGCCCCATCACAAAAAAGGGTCCCCTTTCTCTCATCCCTGCCTCTTTCCCCAGTGGGCCACCTCTCCATGCTGCTCACAGCAACAGGGGACTAGTTTTTCATTTAGAAAATGCAGTGTTATCTTTTCAGGGGAGAGGAGACAGAGCTCAGCAATGGTTCCCTGGAGCCTTACCAGTGACTGTAAGTATCAGTTTCAGCTATTTAAGCACACCAACCATTCTCCAGACTATTCCTTCTCCCTGACACAAAAGAAAGCCTAATGAAGAAAATCAAAACAATCTTTGGGTGGTTTACATTAGCTTTAATAGTGCGGCAATACGTTAATGCAGTGCCTAACCTTTTCATCAGTCATTTCCCAGGAGACAAGATTAGGGTCCTGAAGAGCTCTTAATGTGCTGTAGCATCTATGGTAACAGGATTTGCCTTAACGCTTGGGATTTAGTTAAAATTGAAGTTCATTTGTTTGGGGTTTTTCTCCCTGGAGCCTGTGTAGCAGATAGATAGCCCTGGATGTACAGGAGTAGTTGTCGTGGTGGGAGATCTTGCCCAGAGGCTCTGGGACTGAAGGATCTGGCACCTCCTTCCCCAGCTGCAGCAGCAGATCCAGCAAACTCACTGTGCCAGCAGTACTGTTTTTCTTAGCAGAATTTCCTGGCACATAACAAATAAAGCAGCTTGGAAATACTTCCAGGCAGACTTCTAAGACACAGGCTTGCAGCTTTTTTCCTATTGGGCGCTATGCCTGAAATAAAGTAACGCAAAAGTAAAATAAAGGCCCTGTTCATATCTCTGTTATTCCAGGTTTTTGTTGCTCTGACAGCACAGGCTTCACTGTAATTACACTGTCTCGTATAAGATCAGAGCACAGTGTGTTTCTTTCAAAATCTTCATGAGCAACAGCACTATAGGATTTCTGTCCATCTTCCTGGCATTATTTTGTTGCTTAAACAAGGCAATTTGGCTTCTACTGTGGTGCTGAAACAAATCTCATTCTTTTGTAATGGAGATGTACTTGCTAATCTCTCCTATCACATCTTCAGCACTAGCTGCCTTTTCCAGTTATAATTCACTGTAGGCTTGCAGCAGACAGAGAAACATGCTGTGTCGTTAAAACTTGTTCCTGGTAATTTGATGTCTAGTCCAAGAACTCAGCCTATTGCCTATGGGCCACACTTTATAAAGGAATGAAAATTTGTCCTTTCTTCCCTACTCAGCAGTGCTAACAATAAAAAACTTTTTCACTATGGGGAAAGAAAAAACACCATTTCTGATGGTAGGTATTCTTCACTGCAGTTGTGTTAATAGTGAGGCTGTGATAGCCTTGCCATGGATTCTACCTAACACGTGACAGTTCTTTGCAGTTCACTAAAAAAAGAAGTACAGAACAAAGAAGTGATGGAAGTCACATCCACAGTCAAACTTCCTAACTGCAGCATATCCATTCAGCCAAACCAAATGGTAGGTCACATCACCTTTGCATCTGGAGATGTTTCAGATTTGACTAGCTTTCAAGCTGGCTTTCTATTTAACACATGCTTCTTTCTGCAGTAGTGAATTCTTGTTTCCTACTTGCAGCCTTGTATCAGTTATGGGCACTGATGTTCTAAAACTTCACACTGACACTTTTTTTTCTTCCATTGCTGTTCCCCTGGAATTATTCTTTTTTGGTCTAGGATAAAGAATCTCTTTCCAGGCTGGTGGAGACTACCCTGTACGAGATGAGCAATCACAATAAAATCATTCTGCTGAAGCAAATTGCTGTATTACTCCTGCATGTGGCAAAAGCATACTCAGAAAAGGTAGCCAAGTTTGCACTGAATCACTTCTCTCAGTTTGGTTCTTGTAGTACTTTCTTTGTTGATATTTTGTGGAGGTAAATGGGTTCCATAGCCTACAATGTCCTTGACTTTCCTCTTGGCCATATCACTAGCTTGTTGGAAGTGAAAAAAAAAAATAAATCAAGATTCCCATGAGTTACCATATTTAAGATGAAAGGGTAAATTAATAGGCTGTAAATTACTTTATTCTTTAGGATTTTTCCTTCTGTTTATGTGCAATAATGTGTGTGAACTCTGCTACTAAGAGATTGTATTGTGAGTAACCATATCTACTTTTATTCCTATTTACGAGATAGTTTGTAGACCTAGGGATTTTCATTGATGTAAAGCACAATTTAATGAATTATTTACTGTGTTTAACCATTGTGATGTCAAAATCAATCGTTTTCATATATTTATTTGTTGGTGGTTTTCTGTAAAATGATGCTCATTAAGAAATCTGTTAAAAATGAAGAAGTTTTGTTGAATATTGTTGGGTCCATGAATTACTTATGAGCAAAAAATAAACATTGTTTGCGTTTTTGAAACACTAAAGGTTCCATCTTGTCTACATAGCCATAAGAATGATTGAAAATGCTTCTGTTGGACCAGTGTCAAGCATTAGTAAAGATCCACTGTAACTGTAATTATGTTTTTTTAACAATATATACATGGAGTAAAAGCATGTTGATATAAGTTACAATTTAATTTTGTTTGGACCCAGTACCAAATCTTTTGATTCCAATTGACTTTGCTGGGCATTATCTCAGACTGAATTAGGACAGGAGAGTCGAGACTCTAATAGTCACCAGTAGTAATTCAAGTGACCCAGTGTCAGGATTTCCATACTTGGATTAAGACTTAAATATGCAAATAGCAGTAGTGAATTCACTGGACTTCGTTCCTACTCCGGCGGCACTGAGGCCAGTCCGAATTGTCAGGATAATCTCATGTGCTGCTGTGGGGAAGGATGAGAGGTTGCAGTCTGTGGCCGCACTGTAAGCCTCTTATGCATGCCGTTGTATCTTTTCAGAGTGCCTGGGCCTTGAGAGGAGCTGATTGCTTATTCAGGCATACTATTGCATGTAAGTGTGCGAATACAGTGAACTAGGGCAGGGATGGGAGCATGGAGGAGCACGGACAGACGCGAGTAAGGAGAAAACACTGACCTATTTTCTACTGAGTGACTGAGACCCTCTTAGTTCTTTCTCTTCCAAGAGTAGTCCAGGCCCCTGTTCCATGACTGTTTTTCACATTTCTTGATTATCCCAGCAACAAGCCTTGCAGACATGGTACATCCCTGGAGGTGAGTCTGGTTAAGAGAGAAGTTTAGGATGTTACAAACTAGGATGATGATGATGATGATCATGACCAATCCCTTTTTGCTCAAAGTCAAGTGACCTCTTCCGAGTGCTGTAGAAAGCTTTATTAAAGGTGAAAAAATACATAGTCTGCATGAGAGATTACCCTTGGGACACAACAAAGACAGCATTTAATGGGGGTAGTAGAAGAAAGGAAGCTCTCAGAGGTGCTGGTTGGTTTTGTTTTCTTAATTATTCACAGCACCTTAGACTCAAACAGCTACTGTTAGAAACACTACTGTAAGGAGGGGCTGTTTGAACCTATAGTAACGAGTACCTTTCTAGAATTCATTTTCATTTCAGTATCCCATTTGATTATTTCTCTAGTTCCTTTCACTTCAACTGAATTCATCTGTACTGCTGGTTTGCACTTGAAGTCTGTATATATATGAAGACTGTAGGGCAGATCTGAATGTTAGGAAGTGTTTTGACTGTCTACAGCTTAGTGATGAAGATAGATAGGATTGCGTGTTTATAGGTAAGAATGAGGGGAAAGGTCAACAAAGCAGATATTATGGTGGCAGTTACAGACCATGCAATCAGGATTAAGAGGCAGATGAAATACTCTATAAGCATGTCAGAGAAGTCTCACAATCGCTAGCCCTTGTTTTGATGGGGGACTTCAACTTACCAGTTATCTGCTGGAAATACAACTTCTGCAGAGGGGGAGAGGTCTAGGAGGTTCAAGGAGTGTGGGGAAGATGACTTCCTGACACCTGGTGAGGGAGCCAGACAGGGAAGGTGCCCACTGGACCTGTAGTTTGTGAACAAAGGAGGACTTGGGGGTGACGTGGCAACTAGAGGCTACCTTGGGCACAGTGATCATGAAATGATAGAGTTTTCAATTCTTGGAGAAATAGGGATGGGGGTCAGCAGAACAGCCTTGGACTTCCAGAGGGCAGACTTTGTCTGGTTGACAGAGTCCCTTGGGAGGCAATCCTGAAGAGAAAGTTGTACAGGAAGGCTCAACATTCTTCAAGAAGTCAATCTTAAAGGTGCAGAACCAGGCCACCCCTACATGCCAGAAGATGAGCCAGCAGGGAAGAAGACTGGCCTGGCTGAACAGAGAGCTTTGGAAGAAGGGGCAGGCAATTGGTGAGGCTGCACCTCAAAACCTGTATTCAGTTTTGGGCTCCACACTACAAGAAAGATATTGAGTTGCTGGAGCAAGTCCAGAGAAGGGCAACAGAGCTGGTGAAGGGTCTGGTGAACAAGTCCTGGAAGGAACAGCTGAGGGAACTGGGGTGGTTTAGTCTGGAGAAGAGCAGGCTCAGGGGGAACCTTATCATTCTCTACAACAACCTGAAAGGAGGTTGTAGTGAGGTGGGTGTTGGTCTCTTCTCCCAAGTAACAAGTGATAGGACAAGAGGTAACGGCCTCAAGCTGTGCCAGGGGAGGTTTAGACTGGATATTATGAAGAATTTCTTCCGTGAGGGGGCTGTCAGGCTGCTGAACAGAATCATCCAGTGCTGTACATGGTGCCCTGAAATTGCCCACCTGACCTTCAGCTGCTGCTCCAGAAGGATGGAGATCTCGGAATAGATGCTTCATATACATAAACCCTGTGCAGATGTCTCCATACCTGCAGATCTCCAGACAACAGTCTCTTCTCTCAAGACTTATGGTAAGGCATTCAAATAGCTCTCACAGTGTTTGTAGTATCAGGGGGCATCACTTGAGCTGGCCTGCAAGCTCAGAGTTCATCATCATCACCAGTTGTGAGCACAGTATGAAATGAACTGCAGGGCAGTGTGAGTGATGGATGAGCAAACTGAATGTTGTTGCATTTCTGGGTCCTGCACGCTGGTGAAAGCAGTTACGAAACTGGGGGCAGCAAGATGGTAAATGAAATGAATGTCTGTATTGCTGATAAATATTACTGTATAGCAGAAAGAGAAATGGATTTTGCCACCAGAAGACATAATTTTTTTCCACATACATGGTTACATTTCAAGAATACATCATAAAGTTGTACTGTAATGTGCAGTTTATGCCACAGTTAAAAGCAAGAGTGAGACTCAGCACTGCTGTGCTGTATTGCGTATGGCTGGAGAAAGGCTTTGCTTTTTCAGATTT